TCTGATTCCTGTATATTGTTGATACTTGTGGTATTTGTTTCGATTCGGTTAACATATTGTAATTTCAGATTTTCTGTTTCTTCGAGTTTCATTGTGATTTCTGCTTGTTCTAGTTTGTCTACTAGTTTTCGAAAATCTAAATCGGGTTCTCGAATTGAAGAAGGATGGGATGCTCTCTTTTTTATTGCTATTTTCCTTAATTGCGGTGTTAAGGTCATCATTAGGATTTCTGTCATCTTTGTGTTTTTATAGTCATGTGTATTTAATGAATATGCTTTTCGAACTAGTGTTTCGATGCGTACTGCTAATTGCTTGATGGTTTCATTTGGTAATCTGCGAATTTCATTACATAAAACTCTTTGTTGTTGTTTGTTTCTTTCGGAGTCAAACATTTTTGAAAATTCTTGTGTAAACCTTTTCCAATTTGATTTTATTTCTAGAGGCAATACTGAAAACCATTTTTGGGCTGCGCCGTCTAAAGTTGTTTGTATCAACGCTGTGCGTCGATGTATCCAGCTTTGATGTAGTGGCGTATTAATTGGTTCAGGTCCTATATTTAAAATCAAATTTGCTGTTACTGCATTTAAATAGTCTTCTACAGAATATTCAGGGTCTGTTCCTGTGAATACCATTAAAGGTTTATTTGATGTTATTGATGATCCACCCATAAGGTATGGATTCATTGTCATTTGTAATGATTCTGCTGCATTTGGCATTTGAGAAAAATTTGAAAGTTGATTTCTTGTTATTTCGTGTTGTTGAAGATAATATGGGAGTGGTATTTCGTTTTGCATTTGTGTCGGTTGATACGAGTGTGTGATCATTGGGTTTTGTTGCTGAATTGGTTGAAAATATTGTGTATTAATTGGGTTTTGTTGCTGAATTGGTTGTTGATTTTGTGTATCTATCGGTTGTGGAGAAAAAATTCTATGATTTGTATGTGGTTTCTGTACTCCTTGTCCACGATATTCTTGATTATATGGTGCAAATATATCTGGTTGTAAAAAATCATCATCTGAGGATAAGTAATCCATTTGATAAGATGTTTGTTTTTTATTTTTATTTTGTTGAAAAAATGGATAGTTTTCACTACGATCTTGTGAAGGATGTAAATTTGTTTGAAAATTTACTGAATTAGTTTGTGCCATTGGGTTATCCCAGTTTCGAGATCTTGTATAATTATTAAAATTTTTTCGTGGGGGATAATTTGTTTTTGATGGATGTGTATAATTATAATTATGTTCTGCAAAATTGTTTCTAGTGAACGTTTTACGTGTTTTTGACGGTATTGTCATGGGTCTGTATGTTTGATAATCCATGTGTGAATATTTTGGGGCAACCGAAGGTTTAACGGTTGATTGTAAGGTTACCTGTGTTTGTGAAGGGTTTGTATTTCTTGGTGTTGTTAAATTTGGACGTATCGGTGAAATGCTTTGTTGTGTAGTTGTTGTGTGTACGATTTCTTCATTTATGAAGTGTGATGGTGTCTGGATATCTTGTTGAGTGAGATTTCTAGTTCCATTGAGGTTTTCATTGTGTATGACTGTGGAGTTTAAACTATTATTTTGCATATCAGGTAAAAATGTATTATAGTTTAATGGTGTTGCATCAATGGTTAATGGTATTACTCTTACATAATCTCTTACATAAGATATCGTACTTATTGCTTGACTTGAGATTGATTGTGGGAAGTTTATGAATGCGGGATGAGACCATTCGGGGTCCCAAACATAGTCTGATTGTTCTGTGATGGCAGTATCATCGTTTGAGTTTTGGGGTCTAAAATTTTTTCTTGCTTGTGAAATTAAATCAATATTATGTGTGAAATAATCTATTATGAACCATGCCAAAATTTTTTGTAAGTCGTGTTTTGTATGTTGTGAAACTTCATCTTTCGTGAAATTTTCTTTAATTATATTTAGAAAACTAGAGAGTAGTGTGATTTCATGTCGTACTCTTATGTGTTTAGATGTTTCTGTCGGTGAGACATTTGGGATTGGGATTTCGTTTTCTAATATCGAGATATAACTATATATTATTGCAAAAACTTCATTGGTGAATATGGAGTTTGCTCTTTGTGAGTTATGATATTGCATGCTTTTTATATATTCTGAGAATACTTTTGAAAATTCTGAATCAAGGTCGTCTGTTTGAATTACATATTTGCTGTGATTTTGGTTTGGTGAGCTGAATTCTATGGAGTAGATTCCGTATTGTTGTGTTAAGTTGCATATATCTTTCAAATAGTGATCGATAATTTGTCTTTTGATTTTTACATCTGGGAACTCTGTTTGACATGGACTGATTCCGGGTTCAAACAAATTAGAGTAAATTTTTGCAAAATATATGCTGTCCTCTATCAGTGGTTGCATCTACGATAAAGGGGAAGATATCATCATCATCTGGACTTTCTTCACCTGGGGTGTGTGTTGAGCTCATTTTTTCGTTTGATGACTGTTAATATGTAATTATCAATGTGTCTGATTGGTTGATTCCAATTGTATAAATGTACTGGTTTGTGTTTATATTGCTTTTTTATTCTTCTTTTTCCTCTTTTTGATGAATTTGAAGTTGTTTCTGAGTCGGAAAAATATAATTGATCGTGAATGGGGCAATTTTTATCTATAGATTCTTTTAATTTGTAAAGTTCGTCTAAACTGCTGGTTTCTGATTCTGAAAATGCGTTTCGGTTTTTGGAAAGTCTTTTTCGTGTAATTTGTCTTTGTTTGGTTATTATGTTTCTTTTTAGTGTTTGTCGTTTTGTTCTAATGTATCCAACTGTTTGTGTATGAGGTGTGATTACAAGGTCGTATTTTTTGTTATCTATTTCACAATTGTGTAAAACGATTGTTTGTTTATTTCCTAGGTTTTTAAATGACATAAGGTTTAGGATGACGGATGCAAAGGGTTGTTAAATGAATTCTATTTTCTTAGACTGTTAGTCCTTACGATTTTTTGGTTAGCTTAACCTGGGTCTATTTGTTCAGGGTTGGAGAGAAAAGTATATCGTTTCCGAAGAATGATTTTATACTTTCTCGTGGCTAGTATAAGCTAAGGTGTTAACTTACTTAATCTTACTTAAGGGTAGTGATTGTGTTCAAGGGTTGGAGAATAGTAAATCGATCCACAAGGTTCAGGTATAATTAGAACGCGATTAGTTCGTTAGATACTATTTTAAACTTACTAAGTCTAAGATTTATCCTGGGTCTGGTAAGAGGGGGGATCAAGTGAAGGATGAATAACCGAAGTTCTTCACTGTTTATCCTAATTTGAATGATTAGTTTTGTTCAAAAATTTCTGTTAGTCCTGGGTTTTTAGAAAGGGTTGGATAGTGAATCGACGTTTGAGGTCGTTAGACACTAGCTAAGTGGGTGGGGGAGAACAAAATTGTTCTTTTTGATCCAAGGATAGGCCTTGATGATCAAGTTTTTAATGTAATTAAATAGAAAATGATTTAAGATCCAAGGATGAGCCTTGATGATCTGATTTTAAATTTAAGTGAATTTAAGTTTAAAATGATTTAAATTTGTGTAAAGAAAAGATTTAGTGTTTTTATGATATTAGTGAACTTATGAATGCTGTTATGTTTAGGTGATGAAGCTGGAACAACATAATGATTTATGATTACTAACCATCTATTGTCATGCTACTAATTTTTATTTTGATTTTTCAATAAATATTTTTCAAACATGTTTTGTATATTACTGCAGAATTTAGGAAAACGATCTGAGATCTTTTTATCAATCGTTATTGTATATTAATAATTTTGTTTAGCGCCTGAAATGATTTTGAAGATTGACTTCAAGATTTTATGTTTGCAAATGAAAATCTAAATTCATTGCTAGTAGTATTCTAAATACAAAAGTTTGTGTTGGCTTTTGCCGAACTATCATATAACTATATGGTAAGTTTCTACTTTGTCGTATGTCGTCTCTGGTTCGAGGTCTTCTTGCAATTCCGGGTAGTTCTATTATCGTTCGGAATATTGGCTTTGATCTATTGAGTCGTAGAGACATTTCGATTAAATTATCGTCGTGTAACATTTTAAAAATGTTTTGTCTAAATTCTAATCTATTTTTGGTTAATTCTAAGCTATTAAGGTCTTGTTCGAGACTTATGGTCGCACCAGATGAGTTAGGACTGAAGTGTATAACTCATAGAGTAATTTCGGATAGGGTACACCGTCTGCTCGTCACGCTATCTTATTTTCGGCCGGATAGATTCGTGCAACTTCTTAGTCTAATACCAATCCTAATCTTACTCTTATACTATCTAGTCTCAGGTTGTTTAACTAGTCTCTGCTAGGCTCAATAGATCTAGGGTATACTGGTTTATTGCGGCTGCTGAAGTTCTCTTGGAGAGTCCAACTAATTTCTAAGTTAAATTCAAATCTCTCTGGTGCTGAAATTACAAGTAATTTCAGCACTTACAAATAAGTGGATTGTTAGTCAGATGGATCATGATTGGTTAATATTAAATACTTTACAGTGGTAAAATATCTAATTTATCCAATCATAAAATGTAGTTTAGATCAGGTTCCACAGCCTTTCTTCTCAGCCAACAGGCCAACATTCGTATTTCATGACCACTAGGGTCACCACAGATGAGTCGCTCTTCCGTATCATCATTATTTTGCACTTCTAATTGTGACATTACATGCTTAATAGCTTGAGTTGCGTCTTCCATTTCCTTCGATTCCGCGAGGATGGTCGTGTCATCCGCAAAGAGTGAAAATGTGAATATTTTTGAAAAATTACACTTGTTACCCTAAAAAGAACTGTCGAGTGGTGGCTGTTCAAGTTGCTCAAGGTCACAGTTGTTGCCAACTATTTGGCTTTAATTAAAAAAAACACATAAAATGCAGCAAACGCGAGCTTATTTGGAATAGTTTTTGAATATAGGTCAGAATTTTTTTAAACATAAAAATCGTTGTCCAATAAACGTTGTTAAAAACTGTAGTACAGAGAGTATCATGGTAAAATATGTTGATTAATATGCAGCCCAGACGAGAACCAGTTCACACTGATGAACCTGGACTACCCGACTGTGCGTCTGGACTACCCCCACCCGAACATCAACACGAGGGAGTGTGAGTTGTGCGGCATATCCATTGTGGGCCACCATCTAGTGGTTGTCTTGCGCAACTTCAAGCAGAACTACTGCCACATAGTCAAACTCAACCTCCTCCGACCACTCCAAAGCAACACCTGAACAGGAGTCTATCTGATCAGAGAAAGAGAGAGAAAGCGAGAGAAAGAAAGAGTAATCGAGCATGTGATCAAACTGAACTGCCTATCTAGATGGACCCGTGATAAAACTGATGGATTTATCTGACAAACTTAACTAGCTTTAAATGAAGATGATTTTTCTAGTCTACTTAATGATAACTGAATGTGCATAAGAACCGCCACCTTCATTAATCTCTTCCTATCTCCTATGCTGTAAAATCACTCCGATAGAAATCGAACGCTTTATGGTGCTTATTCTGATAATAAATGATAGTTGTAGCCTCGAATTGCCTCTAATAAGATGGTAGTAGGAAAATAAGGATTGACGAATGTTGATAATAATCTGGCTATAATGTTTAAATATATATATTAGATGCAAATGACTAGTTTCATTAATCGGGTTCTTCGAAGTAATTGATTAAGGAAAATAAATTAGTCATTCAAAAAATAGGTTAAAAGCATTTGCAATTAATCTTGAATGTATCTTGTATAACTAATTTGAAGGACCTGAAATTTGTTCTTCCCACTCCCTCTCGTGTTAGGTACCCTCTGAATGTTAAAAATTTTCCAAATATCAAATATTTTTAAATGTTAATGAACAAAAAGAAGATAATTATTTATGTCGTTTTTTTTTTCAATTTACTCAAGGTAGATCACGTTTTTTTATTAGCCCCCGGTCCTGTTGAATGCAGGAACAACCATGGGGGGATGTCATCCATTTGGCGGTCCCACCTTGAGGAGGCCCTCCAACCGTGACCTAAATTTGATTCGAACGCACGACCCTCGTTTAAGAAAGATCCTCAACAAGTTCAATGGCGGGAACAAACGTGAAAATTTTTAGGCTTCAAAAATGAACTAATTTTAAGAATTCTCTTTACAATAATTAAAATAGCTATTGTCTAATTGGGTTTTTCTATTGGAAAATAGTGTCAATAATGAAGGATTTAATCGTAATTTTTTTGAAAATTGAAACTTTTCAAAAAGTGAATCACTTTTTTTTAGTTTCCTTGAGTTCATTAACACTTTTCTAACTGCCTGTTGGCGATTAGTTTCAATGTTAAAATCAAAACTGGAGCTGTGAGGTGTCAAAATTATTTTATCCATTCAATTGAATTTTTATTTATTTTTTCTTCGATACTGTGAGATAAGCAATATATTGTGGGATCGACTGGCTGCTCATTATCAGAATCATGCAGAAGTACCAATCCACACAAGAGGAGCTCGTGTTATGATAATGCGAATCCATGCCGTGTTTTCGATCTAAGTTTATGTCGGCTAATTTGAAAAAATGGTTAAACTATTTTGCAGATGTCAACCAACAGTCATCTGGTGACACCCAAATCCATCACCCCGGTTAATAGTCACTCGCCTTTGCGACTTCTACACTGTCTGGCTAATTTGTTTCTGCTTATTATACAAGCGAGCTAGCGAGAGAGTGTGTTGATTACGAATCCACTGTTTCTGACTAATTCGCATAAAATAGTCTTCAGTTTGGTGACTCCTTGCTGCATAGTATTGGCAATTTAATAGCACGTGTTCAATATCCTTTATTTGAAAGTATTGTCAACTAATTTCAATTGGTAACGCGACGATATTACAATTTTAATCTCCAGATCGGTGGGTCAATTCTGGTAGATGAAAAGTGTTTTATTTTTTAAAGAGTTTTTTTTTGCTTGTTCATGAAGTGAAGCTTCGCATCTGTTACAAAATTCCGGGACGTCATCCAGTCAGCACAGAAATAGTAAAGAGGAGTGAATCAGGGTTTGAATTCAAAAATGCCATCCCGATAGTTTTTGGTTCACATCTGCAAAATAAATTCAAAATAACTTAGTTATTCAAATTCTTTGTTCTTTCTTCAAAAATGCTAGCCGTTTTTTTAATAGTTTTAAGTTAGTGCTGAAAAATAAACTCATTTCTCAATAATGTTTTACGAATGACAAGTACTAGCATATCATATATCGGCTTCATTGGTGACTAGCAAGGCTACATGGACCATTTGTTTTCAGATTCTAACTCGAAACTTAAAACAAATATAATTCTTTTTAATAATTCCATTTAAACAAGCATCTGCGCCAACGCATAATTACACTTCAGTTCAATGCCTTCATTGCGTTACCATTTTAGTAGCTTTGCAGGCCGAATAGGTTCGCGCAACTTCTTAAGTCTAATACCGATCCTAATCTTACTCTTATTTTTCCTAGTCTCAATAGATCTAGTATCTAGTGGTAATGTTTCGAGGTTAGAATCAAGAAAGAGGCAGCTAGTTGCTAAGTTAAATTTATTCTTCTCTGGCTGAAACTATTTGTAGTTTCAGCCTTTTAATCATGTGTTCCGCAAAATATATGGCCATTTAATGGGGTTTCTGTCCTGCATTATGCCATAATCGTCCTTCTTTCCCTCCATTATTTCCATAATTGCTCAGGAAAAATAAATAATGGCCATTATGGGGTTTTGTTTGTTCCATAATTTTGAATGAAAAATCAAAACAAATTATTCATTTTTACAAAATTTTTGAAACAAGTTAAGCATCCCAAAGCTCTTTATTGACTTTTAAGAAAAGAGTAGCCTCAAGGTGATGTGGAGTCATGCTTTTTCGCAGCAAGTTTTGCTCTGCTGAAAAGTCGCTCACAACTGTTTGATGTACCGGAAAACCACTCCATAGGCAAATGAATGTTGTGCGTTTCTGTTTCTATTTTTTCACGCAGAATTTCAACAAAATCTAGTTTTAGACTTTTCGGTGGTGGTGTCCCTTGCACCGGACGTTCCAAACTTCGTACTGATGTTTTTTCACCAGATGTCAGGTCCAAAATCTTTCTTTTGATGCATTTCACGATTACATTCTCAAAATTCGGAGACTGTACGATACCAGCTTTTTTGATAAATAGTGCTCCATCGAGGGAAAAACGCGAATAAGACCATCCAGTATGTACTGAATTTTAGCCAATGACATTCCAGTTTCCAATTGACCGCTTTTTGACCATTGTTTCTTAAATTTTTGTAATAATACTCTCTTTAGTTTCAAGGTAATCTTCTGCGTCCGAGTTAAGTCTGTGGCTTGCGCATCCGATCATTGGAACTTTCAAAAGTGTTTTCATGACAGGTGCATTGTCACAAACAAAACCCATTACGTTCGAAACAGATTTACCATAGTATTTTTCCAGCGTAGAAACAATAAACTCAAAGTGGTTTTTAGCGTCGAGGCGTTCTTCGTCAAGTAGCGGTGATAAAAGCTAAAAGATACGTTATTTGATTGCTTGAAGTTTCGTCGTAAAAACACGCCAAAACACCGAACTAGTGATCTGGACCCGAACTCCATCCATCGCATATCAACAAGATTTTTCTGGAAGTATCTCCTTTATTTTCTGTTCAATTTTTTTCTGTTGTTTTCTCCAAATAACACACAAGCGAATCAGCGCTGAAATCTTGCAAGTTTGTGTTCTGACGTGTCAACTCGTTTTCGCAAAAATTGAATGGGTGATTATCCATAATTGTCCACTTATGCCTTTTCTACTGACCTCTGTTGAATGCAGTTTCATCTGTCTGCTTCTCAATGCTTTAATTTCTTTATAACCTTCATGAGCATTTGTGAAATGGCTCATCAAGTTTTTAACACTTTTATTAGCAGCTTGTTTGCGTTTAACGCCAAAGGAACATTGATATTCATCGCCTTGTAAATGTTTGAAAAACAAATCAACAACTTCTCGGTTTGAATCAGGCATAATCTAAAGAACAGTTTAAAAAACAGTTTACAAACTCGATGTGAATAAAGCAAAACCACGCTGGCTCAATGAGAACAATACAAGAAGTGCGCGCGTTGTTTGTTTTGCAGGGACATGCGCTTGCTCGCCCACTATTTATTTTACGTAATGGGGTTACGTCATCCCTAAATTTTGGCCATAATCGAAGGCAGTTTCATGCATAATGGCCATACTTTTTGTCCTTTCCCTTCATTGTTTATGGCCATAATGGCCCCTACCATTGTTTTTGCGGAAGCCCTGCTTACAAAATATTGTAAATTTTATCCATGGATCATGATTGGCTAGTTCTAAGTATTTTACAGTGATAATTACCAAGACTATAATTGGATATAATGAATACTTGTTTTGAACTGGTTCCACCCATCCGGGTCTTAGAGAATCTTTATCTTTTAAACCGCAAAATTTAGATCTCCTTCATGGAATTTGGTGTTTTGAAATGGCCATGTTACTAATCTACAGAAACAATCAAAAAGCATAGACGCGGTGTAAAATATTGTCTTTCACGTAACCAAAACTGGTTTTCATTCCGAATGAGAGATCTAAATGCGGACATATTATAAATCTTGAAGTTTTTCAGTATAAAGACTAGTGACAAAAGGTTCTACAAGAGCCGTATATAAACCGATAAGAAATTTGTCTAAATCTTGAAAACAAAACTTGCTCAAATTAGGGCAATATTCGTTAATTTTACTTGTTGAAGTAGACAAATTTTGTATGACTACAAATAATTTTTACAAAAAAAATCCGAAAATTGGAGAGAACTTTTGTTTCTATTCTAAGAAAATCATTTATGTGCTCAAACAAACGTGAGTTGGGGAGTAGGATAAAAAACTGGGGGAGGGGGAGGGTGGGGTTGGATAATTGGGGGAGAAGGGTGGGATAGAAAACTGGGGGCTGGAGAGTAAACATAAAGGTGTGGTCTGTTGAACGTATTTGAATCGTTGTCCAATAAACGTTGTTAAAACCTGTAGTACAGAGAGTATCATGGTAAAATATGTTGATTAATATGCAGCCCAGACGAGAACCAGTTCACACTGATGAACCTGGACTACCCGACTGTGCGTCTGGACTACCCCCACCCGAACATCAACACGAGGGAGTGTGAGTTGTGCGGCATATCCATTGTGGGCCACCATCTAGTGGTTGTCTTGCGCAACTTCAAGCAGAACTACTGCCACATAGTCAAACTCAACCTCCTCCGACCACTCCAAAGCAACACCTGAACAGGAGTCTATCTGATCAGAGAAAGAGAGAGAAAGCGAGAGAAAGAAAGAGTAATCGAGCATGTGATCAAACTGAACTGCCTATCTAGATGGACCCGTGATAAAACTGATGGATTTATCTGACAAACTTAACTAGCTTTAAATGAAGATGATTTTTCTAGTCTACTTAATGATAACTGAATGTGCATAAGAACCGCCACCTTCATTATTCTCTTCCTATCTCCTATGCTGTAAAATCACTCCGATAGAAATCGAACGCTTTATGGTGCTTATTCTGATAATAAATGATAGTTGTAGCCTCGAATTGCCTCTAATAAGATGGTAGTAGGAAAATAAGGATTGACGAATGTTGATAATAATCTGGCTATAATGTTTAAATATATATATTAGATGCAAATGACTAGTTTCATGAATCGGGTTCTTCGAAGTAATTGATA